TTTTTTTTTTTTTTTTTTTTTTTTTTAATAGGAACAAAGGAAGCGAATCGGACGATAGTATCCCACAATAAAATTTCTAAGGAATACGTCCAGCATTTACTCGTATGGATCGTTTTCACTTAGAAATATTGATATGTATCCGATGAATGCTCACGGAGAAGGAGCAATCAATGCTGCACAACGTCACAAGACGCTAAAAAGACGACACGAGATGCCACAAGAAGAATTATGTTCCATTGCCGTACATGCAGGAGTCGTAAAAGTGTCATCCGGTAAACAGGAGAGGGCACTCGCAAGAAAGAGTGCAGGAGGAGCAGAGTTCATATCATCGGAGTTCCTGTGCGTGCGTCGAGCTGAGAACTCCGATAAAAAGCGATGAGTCACGTTTACAAAATCGCGATAGAATTATAGTGTACATGCGATAAAAAGCTGTGGCGTTAATATACGATTGTGATTCGTGTACAATTATTTTTTAATACGCATCATATGTATAACATGGTTACGAATGCGTGTGCGTTTATATAGAGTTATTCATAGTAAACGCACCAGCCGGTGGTGCTTTTATGGTGAATAATTCTGTATAATGTGTAAGTTTGCGTGTGTTTAAACATATGCTTTCTAAATTTTCAGATTGCTTCAAAACAGTCTTGACTTACTCTTACGCTCTTCTGCCACGGATCATTTTTCCATTAATACATACATATATCCGCTTATCACCGGCCCGTTACTGCCTTCTCTACACGACCGAGGATTCAAATCGAGCAAGGATATGAAGAAATGGCTGAACAGCCGAACTAAGAGATCGAACGTTGAAAGGGTTGAAAGTAAAAGAGAACATTGATAAGAGGTACGTAGGTAAGAAATAGGATAAACGGCGAACCGTACTAAACGATAGGAGTATATAGGAGGCCTCGGTTCTCATATATCAGTATTTTGTAGTGAATGTCTGTAGGTGTACCGTTAATTCTCTCGTTCCCCTATCATTATTAATTTACGTTCTATCATACTCTCAAGTTCTTGTATCTCGAAAAGTTCTTGGTCCTTGTAGCGTGTTAGCTGCGTTGTGTGTCGCTTATAGATATGGGAAACGGCCGCTCGGTCAATCGGTCGTCAATAGGTCGGCAGAAAATATAAGTAGGCAGGTCGATCAGTCGTGAGGTCGTTCAATTCGTCAGTCGGTCTTCCGGTCGGTCGGTCAATCAGTCGGTTGGCCGAACTCTCTCAATACGGCCAAAATGTTGGTAAAGGTGGCGGCGGTGGCGGCGGTACTGCAGAATATAACGCAGGTGTTGCAATGAGGAGACAGGTAGGCGGTAATGGTGGAGGCACGGGAGGCAAAACAGGGGACAGGGTGATTGCTGCTGCGGCTGGATGCAGGGCTGTACCCGTCGGGGTACATAATGGGTGCAGGGCGAGAGAGGGGCGCTGGCGCTGACGCTGACGCTGGCCCTGGACCTCGCCGTTCTATTCCGAGTCTTGCTGCATTTTGACGTGGCCATTACCGGCGGAATTGCTCGATGTGCTTCCACTGCTTGGTGGGAAGCTCGTGGGTATGGTGCGTGACGAGGAGAAGCATAACTTCATGATGTAAGGGAATTTTCCATCTACGCAAAAATTTAATTTTTTTCTTTTACAAGACGCTTCTTCCTTCTATTTCCTGATCCTTAATTTTTTTTCTTTATTATCGATCCTCAAGTACAAGAAACTCTCTCAAGTTGCAGGACGATTCGATTATCTCAGATACTCACTGCTATTCTCCAGGGCGGTGTGATTGCACTCCATAATAGCGGCAACCGCGATGCCGACGCTGCTGAACTCGATCAGGCCCGAGGACGATCGTTCTGATTTCAAAGGGAAAAGTTTCACCGTTGTCGGCGCCTCGATTCCACGTTCGATGAAGACGCGATTCACCGTCTCCTCGGTGAGATCGGGTGGGGTGTTGAAAAAGTGAACTATTTTCGAGGGAGGCTGTATTCTGTTTTTGTTGGCCATCGCTGGATTGAGAAACCTGACGGTACGTGAAAACAGGATGAGTTAAGTACGATCTTCGCGAAGAAGATCGATATATGTAAGATCGTTCACCTGTTGTTCTTGCTACCCGTGAAGTCCTTGAAACTTGCTGTTTTGTCGGGGAGTATGTAAGGATTTGTGACGTCAGACAGGAAGGCCTGTTTCGAGAATCCAAGCTGCAACTTTCCATCAGTCCCGATAGTAACGTTATTTAAATTCTGTAAACACCTCTCGACAGCTATGCTATCTCCCATCTGGATCATTGCGCAGCCTTCTTTTGTCTTGAGGAACTTCACCTGCAATCAAAAAGTAAATGTCCCCGCAATGTAAGACAAATCCACAGTGCCATCCAGCAACATCAACTATCAACTATGAAAAGTCATCAGACTCTACCTTTGTCACGTTTCCGTAGAGGCAGAACAAATTGAAGAGCTTGTCGGTATTGACTTTGTCAGGTTGTAAACCATAGACCATCATCACGGAACCTTGTGTACTAGAGGGCGGAGTTTGACCCAAAGTGGGTACGTAGCCTGGCCGAGGCGGCGTGGGATGTAACGGTTCTCGGCCACCAAAGTCATTTTTGAGCCCGTATCTTTCGGCATAGGGTTCCGCGTAAGTGGCTGGACCGTTAAAGCTTTCCTCGAAGCGGTCGTGTCCGGAACCAGGTGGAAATGCCACTTGTGGCGTCGAGCCTGAAATAGAAATAAAGAAATATATTCTTCTTTCGAGTAACAAAAATTCACATTACTATACGGTTCCGGCATTCGTCGTCGTATAGATAAACGTCCAACGTTCGAGTCCCTACAGTCTCTGATGATATAATATTTAATAGATAAGTCGAATATACGTATAGCAATGCAAGGAGCGTGGGTGATCAATGAACCCTCGAACATGCTAGTTGAACACTGGAGGATGTTATTCCTTTAGCCGGAAAGGAAGCTAGCCAGGTAAGCTTGCGATCCTCTGAGACTCACCATAGGGCTGTGGCGCAGCACCGTATCTAGGCTCTGCCAGGAGAGGAGCCGGCCTCCCGTTTCCCGTCGTGTCGTTTTTGTGTGCACTCGAGCCTGCAACACGTACAATTCCTGACATCAGAACACCGATTCGTATCGGGCGAATGGATATATTGTGAGAATAAAGGGTTTGCCATTGAGCGATATCTCGGAAGGAGAAATCCTTTTTTGGGCAGAGATAACGTTAGATTCTACAGACTCATCCAATTAGGAAATACCTCTGTAGATACGCTACTCTTGTACATCAGGATGCCATCCTACAAAATTAATGCACAGTGATCCTCGTGAAGAGCGGATGAATTTTCTTCCCAATCAATAAAGATACTTTATTATATTTATATTCTTTTTGACAATGAGTTATGAGTTTGTTGATTCATACCGCTGTCACATTTTTGTCATATAAGAACGACAAGCCTACCGGTAGATTGCGCACGCGATCTCCCATGCTCCCATGGCATAGTAATCGTAATCCAACAGTATACAGACATAAGAGTATATTGAGTAATATCAGGCTCTATCTTTTATTATACCTTCCATTTGCGTGCGGTGGTCAAAAGGAATTGGTAGTTTTGCTAGGGGTGCCGTGTACGGCTGGTGCGGGTCGGCGGGTGTCTCTCGCGCTGTATCGACCCCCGACGTACCACGCAGACTAGCACCGCGCAGCCCATAAGCTATATACATATATAGCTATATACAGTAGAGGGATGTAGTACGCGTTACAGCTACGAAGCCCTGAATTCTATAAATCGGAGTTTATGTTTCCTGGTTCTCTCTACAGAGAGCGCACCTGTGCACCCTTGTGTATTGCTCGTCACTGCCGCCGACCATCAGAGATCCCTTTAGGTTCCCCGTGCGTTTAATAAAATAAAAGTAACAACAAGGGAGTCGAGAATCGATTGACTGTAAAATAAATTATTTCAATCACGTGGATGACGATTATGATTTATCACGTATGATTGTCCAACGTCCGTGGAATCTTGTCGTGCTGCCCTTGGTTATTGTTACATTAATCTGTGAATCAGAAGTTTTCACGCGTTCCACTGTACGAGAATATGAATCTTTAAAGAGCCAGTGGTTACCGTCACGGCAACTTTAACATTCTTTTGCGGAAGCAAAGCGTCGTCGAGGGAGTGGAAATACTTTTGTACTGGCGAAATGCGAGTTTGACGGAAGTTCGTCATAACGTCCTTTTCAATTATTTTTGTCACGATGCTCGTTACTCTTACTCGAGGCTGCGGCTTGGCGCCGATGACCTCTTCGCTTCCTCGCGAACTGCGTCTTCTTAATTATTTGGCCAATTAGCGATTGCCGCGTTATTGGCTGCTCGGACGCAAATCGAGGGTGAAACGAGGACGAGAGATCGGATGGGGGCCGAGCGCTGATTAGAGGTTGGCAACGTGTTGGCGCTAATTACTCCCGTTAAATTTCTGCCTGCGGCTGTGATAATTATACAGGAATGTCTGAGCTTGCACCTTCGTTCCCGATCACGACTGTCACGGGAACGTGGAAGTCATCTTCTTACGGGTAGACATTCATCTTCGACAGAATCCAGGAAGTGAAATTCGTGCAAGTGACGTTAACGAGACTAGCGCGAAAATGTACATTTTTCTCTTTCTCTCGTCAGTACTCTACATGAATCTCGATGACGATGCCGACGAGAAGTTGCTGAACGTAGACGTTGTCTTCGTCGCTGCGATGTCAAGAACTTTTGTTAAACTTCACCACGGTGACCGATTGAGATATGAATAATAATTTAAAAAAAAAAATACATTTTATTTTCAATTCTCGTAGAACCATCCCGATGAGATTAAACAGCATTTTTTTTTTAATTTTTTTTTTTTTTTTTTTTTTTTTTTTTTTTTTTTTTAAGTAGCACATACTGACTTACCGTTCTGTTGGCAACTTCAACAATAACGGAGTACTCCGTCCAGACCAATGTCTCCGGACAGGCTAAGCCGTAGACCTGCCTAAGCCTCACTCACCGGCCCTGACTTGTCCACTCGTATCCATCATCACCTCAAGTCAACAACGAGAAGGCTGCATCTGCACACAGACAAACATTCCAACATAACACCTCTGTTCCTCCAATTCCCGGCACTGTCAACGGCCACACGTCCTTCTCTTGAACTGGAGTTAGTCAGCCTTGATTTGTGGTGTGGTTTAAGCGAGAGATTAACTAGCCGTGTGCGTAATTTTTAGAGTAATAGGTCTTTTTGTATTTGAATTTCTGTTACCTGGATATGTGTATGCACATAAATATATACATACATACGTATATATATTTATTTACATATAGATCTGTCCCTCTCCCCCTCTCTCTCTGGACACACACACTTTTCATATATATATATACACACATACACATAGATATGAGATTAATCTGTATCATATCTCAGGTTTTTTTGAAAATTTGATTTTGGCGAGACGGTAGCAGTGGTTGATTGAATGTTTGTCTGTGAGTGCACTGGTAGCCCTTGCAATGGCACGTAGTCAACATATAAGGATCTCTTATGATACTTTTTTTTTTCCTCAATATACTCTCTGTTATATATTACATAGTTTTTGCCAAAAGTCTTTCGCTACGACGTACTACTTTTCGTTTCGTGGTCGATGGTTGGTAGGTGGAAGGTCCGGCAGATCTACGGCGTATGTGTGACATATGTGATTCTTGTGGAACATGTGCATGCTGTCTCATTAACGTATATATTGTCTTCTCTCCCGTTCTACGATATTCTCCCTCTCATATTCTCTCCGGGTTCTCGCGCTCTCTCTCTCTCTCACTTTCACTTTTTCGCCCAGTCGTTCCCTCTCACTCTCTCTCATTCACCCTCGAGAAAATCTTCTGTCAGTTTGTTGTATCCGCCGTAACTGGTGATGCGTGACTTTTTCAAGAACCACCTTATCTTTCAAAACTATTTTCTCCAATTCTTCCACCACCATCCGGCACTCTCGATTAGATAACAATTAAATATGCAAGTACAGAATTGAATGTTACGTCTTTTCTAACCTGACGTCACCGACTGTCTAACATAATTTCTCATAGAATCCGCTTAGAATTTTCTAATAGCCAAAGACACGTGTCAATTTTAACCCTTCCGCATTCCGTACTGAAAATCTTCCCAAATTCTAACCTCAACTAACTGTGGATATACCCTAACGTCACAATGTAATCCGTCTATCACCCAACGAACCGAGCAATGAGCTATCGTCACGATATTACACGAAAACATGTTTTCGTGCTTCGTGCAAAAAAATTCATCTCACGATACTAATGCCATCAATCTCCCTTTCAATATGCATTGTCCACCGCACGCAATTGGCAGCTACTTTACCGATAATACGTCTCTTGCGTCTAAAGTCAGAGTTCAGTCTGCGTGATAAAAAATTAACTAGGCAGCTACTAAAAAAAATTTATATAAAAAACGAATTGCCCACTATAATGGATAACCATGAAAACATCTACAACGATCTTGTTTCTCATGCGCTTTCGAGAAATTAGATGAACTTTAATACTCAGATGTTGCAGGAATGATTACGCGAATCGTCAACCATATGAAAACATTGCGAAATGCCAATTGCTCCGAGGATTTTTTTTGGAATTGTAAATACATAGTTTGGAAGTTTTGAGAGAACGAGAAACTTTTTGCACGTTATGTGTACTTTCTGTCGGATTAATGGGAAAATTATAATGAGATCAATAGGGAATATTCTTTACGCATGCAATAACCGAAAACCCCGCATCAGATGATCGATCCAGATGACGTACGACAATGGATGATTCCATCATTTCAAGATTCTGATATATGTCCATCACTGTAACGGTTTCATCATTCAAATTCAGGCAATTTCTTGAGAAAGAAAATGTTTATTGTCACAGTAAACGTTTCGTATTTTCATTCTAAATGTCTACCCGATATATGCTTGTATATTGAATTCAGGGGAACAATTGGACTTCCGGTACAAAGCACCCTACTATACGCGATAGTTACACTCCGAAGCATCCTGAAAGTGAGCCTCCCACCTACTGACAGCCAAATTTCTCGTTAAGAATAAATACAAAATTTAAATAATTTTCATGATAAAACGCAACACTGTGTTAAACAAGGAATGGCAATAGGTGACAGAAATAGATCACGCATCCCCACGTCATTAACAGAGAGAAGAAAACTCGAAGCGAGATTCGTTTGTATAGTTTTGTTGTTCTTGTTCTTTCGATTCCGTTTAATCATTTCCGGGCTTTCACGAGTGTTAGTATCATCTTGAGGATATGAAGAATTAATGCAGTATTCAGTATTCTCGTATCATATCTTCTTGTAGTGTCTTACAATTAGATTCGTTTCTGTCTTATATTCTGTTAAACTGTATCTGGGTAGTAGGTGGTAATACTAACAATAAGTAGTATTTTGGTGGTGATGGTGATGATAGTGATGGTAGGTGGTGGTGAGTCTCGCCCCGTGCCGAAGGTACCGTTCTCCGCCAAAAGTAATGTATTAAATTGTGCTTGACTCCCTGTGAAACATGTGTCCCGATGCTCCGATGCTCTTAGGTTAGGTTGGTGAAGGAACCAGTCGATTTCGGCGTGTCTGCCGTGCGATAAAATTCCTATGGAACCACTGTCGATCAAAACTGATCCTCGGGAGCATCCTGTATTTTTGTGCTTTCGAGTGTCTGCGGCTACACATGGCAGAGCCGGTCGGGCTGAGCCCAGGTTGTTCTGAGCTTTAAATATGTAGATATGCATATATGATATGTGTGTACAACATAGTTTGAAATACATACATATATGATAAGCATATATCGTGGGCCGAATCGTATATGAATCGATAAGCATCGAGTTCACCACCGATTCCTAGGCACATGTGTTCCAAGGTTTGTTTTATTTTTGTTGTTGTTTGTTGTTTGTTTTCTCATTGTTGTTTGCTTTGTTGTCGTGCGTGCATGCATGGATGAATCAGCCGTTAGTCTTGAAATTTATTAATCTCCAGCCTTGACTTATGTTTTTGTATATACAAGAATACAGAAGCGTCACGGAAAACATCCTGTAATTAATATTGGTATTTGCTATGAAAAAAATTCATAAATATAAGATTAAAAATGTATGCACGTGCAATTTTGCATATAACAACGTAATCCGTGTTAGACTATCGTGTATACGGTGAACTTGGGAGGTAACTGTGAATATCGAGATGCGCGTAACGTGTAAAAATTTTTATCGTAAATTACTTTGTCACGTTATTTAATCGGAACGTGCAAATGACGGCAGTGCCACGCTGTAACAGTGAAGCGATCAGCGTGGCGCGGATATGATGTTGGAATGTTTAGTTAGCAGGAAATGAGGGTAGGATAACGCAGAAAGCGTTATTTTACATGCTTGTCATTAATAGGCGCATACACCTTCCTGGAAAGAAGAAAGGAAATCAGGTGACTTACTGGTAATTATAATAAGATTCTATTGATAAAAGTACCTTTATCAACTTATCCTTATTACGATTAATAATAGGTATCGTTTAGTAGGAATTCTCATGAGAGCTGCGCCTGTACTTGACAGGACATTTTAATGGACACGACATTGGGTAGTGACCCAAAAGATTGGCTCTTTCTTTTCTTTTCTTTCTCTCGTTCTTCAGATCGCAATATCCTGCGCATTCGAAATCCACCGTCCCTTTCGGTAAACTACGTAATACGGACTGAGGCCGAATCTGAAATATCGATGGGAACACATCTTGCAGCTTTGCGCAGAGTTAAACATCTTTCGATACACACAGCTGTCCAAGTCGGAGGCTTCAGGAATCCTCAGTCGCGGCAGAAGTTGTCCAGGATTCGGCGAGAGAGTGAGTCAGTGGGCAGCAAGTGGCAAGTATAGAGCGAGACGCTCCTACTGATATTTATATTACAGGTGACAGCTCGCAGAACATCCAATATGACGATATCGTCCAAGGTATCGACCCGCAAATGAAAATCCCAGGAGGAAGGGAATGAGTTCCAATCGAATTATCGGGCAATTCTTGTTAATCGAAGTGACGCCACGTTCGATGCGAGTCCAATTTCCTCACGAGCGGAATTTTCACCTCCTAGGCGATATACCTACACAAACGCTTTTTTGAGATCGTGTAGCCGACTAAAGAGGACTTCCCAGTGGGCCGTGCTATTCGGGCAATGCGAAGGGATGACTTCGTTTCGTTGCCGAGACGGCGCGAAGTCGAGAACTAATCTACTAAATGAGGTTAGAAAAGTTGCCATTGGGAACTCGAAGGGAACTACGTGGATACCTTCTATCGGTAGACTACAACACGCTCGGCTTTACTTATTTCTTTCACGATCTTCCTACCCGGCAGATTGGACGTTAAGAGAGTCGATTGTAAATCCGAGTAGGTTTCTCTGATCCAATAGGCATCTGCAAGTGACTTTAACATCTGCCAGTGCATCTTCGAGACTAGTCCTTTCGATTGCAGGTCGTACTCGCAGCAGGTGTGGGAAACGTTAAAAATCTAATAAAAACATAACGTAGTCTCCGAAACAGCCATATGTCAATCCAAAGAATCATAAAGCAATACTTGCATCGAACGAATTCTCGTGTGATCCATTTTGACACTACAGGCAATAGCTGATCTCAGCGAGTCGACTTTTGTCAGGCACGCGCAATTTCCCGAAGGCGCGCTTCTCATTTCAACGGGATCCTTTGGAATCGTACGAGCGCACTATGAAACGCCATCGGGATGCGGATGGGAAGATTGTAAGCGATCGACGGTATTCCCAAGATTCGGCCGTGCTATATGAGAGCTATATAGGTACTCGCTTGGGTGGGTTCC